AACAGACACACACATATACATACATATATACACGCATGACCATACACACGCAAAATCTTGTTGGCTTACTCGTCTTCGGCTTTTGCTTTTGCTGCCACATACCTAGAGTTCGACAGGCTGATTCTTACACAGAAACGGATTAAGGAATCATTTTCTCATCTCTTCCTTTACAGGTAACACTGCCTTTTCTCAAATTCTAATCAGTCTGAAAAGATTTCAAATTCCAATGTCTACCTCATTACCCAAGGAAATTTGAAACGAAACCAAATATTTTGGGTAATAAAAGTGACTTTTGATTAAAATTTTCTAAAGATTTGCTTAGGTTGACATACCACAGTTGTTCATTTTCATTTAGTATCACTCACTAATAATGATCAACTAATTAAAACACTTATTTTAATAATAAATTAATATTTATAAATAGGTCAAATAAAATCTGGATAGCAACAGCTTCCAATGAGATATTTGTGAAAGTACTGAATGAATTATTTTGAGATATCCAAAAAACAGGGGTGCCTTTTAATGTCGAAATGTTTATTAGAAGAACACTATCTGTGTGTTACCCTGGGTTAGGTTGGGTTTAAGTGTTTTATAATAGTTTTCTTTTAAAAACTGAATTTACTTTATTGTAGGTTGAGTTAGGTTTAAGATTGGGGTTGAGTTAGGCTGAAACATTATTTGTTTCAAAATGACAAACTATATCGGCTTAAAATAGGATGCTTTCGTTGATGTTCGTGCAAGGTACCGATTCAATTGTATCGATACATAAAAAGGAGCGGTATTTTTTAATGTGGAGATTTTGATTAGATGAATCCGGTCCTGTGTTGTCTTCTACTACGCTGATTTCTACCCACAGCAATCCCGAACAACACATGTAGGCCTTACCATGTCACTGAAAAGTACTTGTAATTATTGACATCAGCGGGACTTCTTGCACCTCACCGCCAGAGAAAAAGCTATTCCATTGTTCATTAAGTTCGCAATTAAGAAGATGTTGGTTGTAAGATAATTAATATCGTTTCATATTCACATATTTGTCTGTCAGAAGCAACTTATATTATTCTTCTGAAAGAAGATGAACATGTAAAGCGAGATTTGTACCTATCCAAGCACCATCCATAAGATTATACATATATGTATAAATGAGTACATATTTACTTCATCACGTACATAATATAGGAACTATTATCTATAGATGCCTATATTATAACTATAGTTACTTCTGGACTTCATCAGTCTTTTAAATATCGTATTTTTCTCGATAATCGCATAGTAGATACTTACTTCAATTTGTAGATACTATAAATAGTGTGACCAATGAGAACAACCTGGACAAGGAATTACGATATTAGAAATAATAAGCCGTTGAAATTAACTCGGAAATTTATAACAGTAGGTATCTACCAACCAATGTATTTAATTTTTCCAAATCAAGGTGTACAATGTTATGGACAGTTGGAAAGGTCATTTTTTCTATAGATTTATAGGTATCATGGAGGAGTAGTTTTTGACCATCTGGTTGACTGCGGTCCCACCAAACATTCTGAGTAGAACTATATTAATATAAGGTCAGTTTTGGCTACAACTAAGAACTCAAGCTGAAACCAACAAAACATTTCTAAATTTTGTTGCCCCTAGTGGTCAATCTAGACGTTGGTAAGTCAATTCCTTTAGCTAAAACTGACCATATATTTATAGGTACATATAAATTAACCTACCCTGAAAGATGGTCAAAGGTTACACTATTTTCTCTTTTACTAGAAATTGTATACATCGATTTTCAAAATATTCTAGCACATCTAGTACATCATCATCGGCCATCGACTAAGTACTAAGAATACTGTTATAGAAAATACTACAAACGGCACAGTGAACGCCATCTGTAGCACGATGCTACATTTTAGAATTACGTATTTTTCAACAAGGTCCACTTGTGTGGATATCTACTTGCTGAAAACGAATCCCGGCGTAGCCAACCTCAACGTGATAGGCACGTTAGCTTAATCGAATAAAATAATTCGAAGTGGTCTG